GGATGGATGGATGGATGGATGGATGGATGGATGGATGGATGGATGGAGAGAGAGAGAACAGAGACAAACCAAAGGCTTTGCTGAGAAGGGAAACAAAAGACCAGTGTACCTGGCCCTAGATGGGGTCAGCGGCACCTTCTGCTCTCATGGCTACTGTGACTGTCCCAGTCAGAGGTAGCAAACCTCAGTTACTACAAAGGGAGACGCTGACTCAAAAAGAAATAAACAAGCAGCAAAACCAAACAAAAAGCAGCCACAACAGAAGCAGCAGCACTATGGCTGACACGATTCAGACAACAGCACTCGGACAGGACTGGGTGCTGATGGTATTCCCGGCCAGAGCCATACGGAAGGCACAGGTTCTTACTGCCTAAAATGTAGGTGATAGGAGATTCAGCTGGGCTCCCCCCAGGGACTCACCTCCAGGAGCAGATGACCTATAAAAGGCCTGCCTGACACCTGACACCCCAGCGCTCACTGGAGTGTTCTCCCTCCCTCCCCCCACACACACACAATTTAAACTCTTTAATAATGATTTAAAAAAAATGAACAGCCGGGCGGTGGTGGCGCACGCCTTTAATCCCAGCACTTGGGAGGCAGAGACAGGTGGATTTCTGAGTTCGAGAGTTCGAGGCTAGCCTGGTCTACAGAGTGAGGTCCAGGACAGCCAGGGCTACACAGAGAAACCCTGTCTCCAAAAACAAAAACAAAAACAAAAAAAAAAAAAATGAACAAAGCAACAGCTAACAGTTTCCACCGGTCTCTCTCCCTTTCTGCCCTCGGCCCTCATGGCTCTGCTCCCGTCTGTCTGCCTCTACCTCTTCTCCAAGCCCTCACTCCACTCCCTTCCCCTGAATAAGCCCCCTTATACCAGATCTGTTACATGGCATGGTTTCTCAGGGGGACACCTTAGCGTGGGCCCACCAGGTGCCCCACCCACCCCACTCCCTGCCAATTATATTTCATAACACTATCTCCATGGTACACAAATGTGTTTCCATGAGCAAGTCTGCTGTGAATGAGAAATAACTACCATGGTTCACGTTTTTTAGAAGAAAACTATATTCTTTTAAAGAAAACGCAAACATCCTCCAGGGGGGAAACTTAATTTAAGTCAGATGTATGCTTTGGTAGTGTAGCCTGATACAGTGGGCACAGATGTTCCTGGGCAGGGTCTGCAGGGAGCCCCGTGTGCCCCACCCCCTCGGCTCCTGGGTCTTCTGAGGTTGGGGATACTGGAAAAGCACCTCAAGCCAGGATCCAGAGAGGCGGAGAACTGCAGCTGAAAATACCCATCAAGGCCAAATCGTGGTATTTCCCAGGTTGTCAATGTTCCCTGGCTCTGTGGTCGCACACAAATAAGGCACCGGTCCCCCACCGACTCCAAGACCCTCCAATCCCTGCCATGGGAGCTGAAACCAGGTGGAGGAAGTAGTCTGTGGTGCAGGTGTCCCGGAATCCAGCAGGGAAAGTGAGGCACAGAAGGTGAATAAATAGAAATCGCTTCTTTGTTGCGGGGGTCCCGCCCCTGCGGAGGGACAGCAGCTGGGAGTGGGGTTGGGGGAGGAGGGAAATCGCTTCTTTGTTTCGGGGTCCGGCCCCTGCAGAAGGGACAGCAGCTGGGAGTGGGGTTGGGGGAGGAGGGTGGATCACTCCTCTCTCTGATGCCTGCTTCTCAGAGCTCAGTCACATGCACAGCAGGTGAGGGGAGTGGGCCCTGTCCAAGGCGCCTCAGGTGGCAGCGACGGCAGAGCAGGTGCCCCTCCAGGGGGTAGCAGCGGCGCCCCTCTTCCCCGCTCAGCTGCAGCCCGCAGTCCTGCAGAAGGAAAAACACAACTCTGAACCCCAGCAAGCAGGAGGCAGGGCATCCTCACCAATGGGACAATGGGGTTGGGGCAGGTATGGCGGCTGGGCAAGTCCAGTCTCCAGGACAGGGCAGGGATGGGTAGTAACTGTGGGCTCAGCCTGATAAGCTACTGTGGGTTTTTTCTTTGTTTTTGAAACAGGATCTCGGCCGGGCGGTGGTGGCACACGCCTTTAATCCTAGCACTTGGGAGGCAGAGGCAGGCGGATTTCTGAGTTCGAGGCCAGCCTGGTCTACAGAATGAGTTCCAGGACAGCCAGGGCTATACAGAGAAACCCTGTCTCGAAAAACCAAAAAAAAAAAAAAGAAACAGGATCTCTCTATACCTGTCCTGGAATTCACTCTGTAGACCAGGCTGGCCTCCAAATCACAGAGATCCACCTGCCTCTGCCTCCCAAGTGCTGGGATTAAAGGCGGCACCACTATGCCTAATCTTCACAGCTATGGTTTTTAAGAACGAGGTGCGTGGGGGTGGGGGTTGTTGGAACATTGGCTCAGCAAAAAGAACTTGCTCCACAACCTGAACACCACAGTTCAATACCTTTGTACCCACAGAACAAGCCAGACACTCACCAACTCCAACTCCAGTCCTGACTCTGTTCTCCACACACAGAGGCATGGATACTTTCCCTGTGTGTCTGTGCCTGGGTGTATGTGTGTCTCTCTCTCATACACACACATACACACACACACACACGCACACAAACTGTAAACCCTTTAATAATGATTAGAAAAAAACGAACAACGCAACAGTTAACAGCCAGGTGTGGTAGCACATCTGTAATCCCAGCACTTCAGTGGCAGAAACAGAAGCAGAAATTCAAGTTCCAGGTCAGCCATTGCTACATAGCAAGAGGGTGTCTCAAAGGACAAAATTCCCGGCACATTTATCAGACAGTGACCCCAAGAGGCTGAAGTAGGAGACAGGGTTTGAGTCCAGCCTAGGCTATCAAACTAATCGAAAGGCTGGAGAGCTAGCTCAGCAACAGAGTGCTGATAGCACATGCAGGATTTGTCCCCCAGTGCAGACACACAGGGAGTTCTAAGACAGCCAGGGCCACATGGAGAGACCCTATTTCACAAAACCAAAGAAACAAGAAAAGGGAGGCTTGATCCCTTGTCCAAGGAGGAAGTGGCTGAACGATTAAAGAGATTTGGGGGGGGGGTATGTCCTCGATGGGTCTCCAGAACTTTGACCTCTTTTTTTTTCATATACATGTTATTTGTATGAGTGTGGGTATGCCATGGCATGTCTGTGGAGGTCAGAGGGCAACCTGCAGAAATGAGTTGCCTCTCTATGTGGGTCCTAGGGATCGAATTAAGATCCTAAGACTTAGCTCTGGTGGTTTGAATAGGTTCGGTCCCTATAGATTCATTCATGTGTTTGAATATGTGGCCACAGGGAATAGCATTATTTGGAGGTGTGGCCTTATTGGAGTAGGTGTGGCCTTGTTGGAGGAAGTGTGTCACTGTGGGCTCTGAGGTCACCGTAGCTCAGGCTCCGCCCAGTATGTTTGGATCAGGATGTAGAACTCTTGGCTCCTCCAGCACTTCGTCTCCCTGGACACTGCCTTGCTTCTCCCATGAGGATAATGAACTAAACCTCTCAAACTGTAACCAGCCCCAATTAAATGCTTGCCTTTGTAAGAGCTGCCTTGGTCACGGTGTCTCTTCACAGTAATGAAAACCCTAAGACAGAAGTTGGACCCGGCTGTTGCTGTGCTAGGGCTGACTGCACTTTTGTTTGGAGGAATGTGGACTTGGGGACTCTGGAAAGCAGTGGAGTGCTTTAAGTGGGCCTTAACGGACTGTCCTGGTAGAGTATGGGAGACATCGGTGATGAGGGTGATTTCAACTCTGCAGGGCTGGCTGAGGGGAGGTTTCAGAGGAGAATTTCAGTGTGCAGCCTAGAGATCATTCTCGTGATATTTTGGTGAAGAATGTGGCTACTTTTTGCCCTTGTCTGAGGATCGCCGGGGACTAAAATGAAGAGATTTAGATTAATTATATTAAGAAAGGAAATCTCAAAACAGCCTAGCATAGATTCTGTCCTGTGGGTTATTCTTACAAGTAGTACTTTGATCAAGTATAGCAAGCATAGAAAAGAAAAATACAAAATTTATGGTTTAAGTAATGGAGCTGAAATCTGTGTTCATGGAGATAAACAGATTAAGGGATCTCAGGGCAAAACCCCACTCTCCTAAGCTTACTGTTTATGCATCTGAAGTTGTACGAGAGACAGTTACATCATGTTAGGCATTATTATTACCTGGTTATTGTTCTCACTTGGATATAAGGAGATACGATTGTATGTCAAATTGACAAGGGATGGATTGTGAGGGCTATATCTGGAGTGAACTACAACCCAGAAACGGTAGTATACACCTTTAACCCCAGCAGACAGGGGCAAGCAGATCTCTCAGTTCAAGGCCAGCCTGGTACAGAGCAGATTCCAGGTAAACAAAAGCCTAGGTCCAAGCATGTTGGAATACACCTTTAACCCCAGCACTCAGGCAACAGACCATGCAGATCTCTGAATAAGATGAAACAGAACAAGGGGCCATGTTCCAGCCCCCAGCAAGCAGCAGAACTCAGCAGCTTCCGCCACGTGGCTTTGGCTTCAGAATCAAGAATAGAAGGGATTACTGGGACAACTGATGCCGGTTAACTGAGCCTAAGAAACTATCAGTGACTAAGAAGAGACTGGCATCACTGGGGTGAAATCTTCTGGAAGTGTTTTCAAAGGAGCTGTGTTCCAGAGATAGCCAAGGCTGCACCTCATGCTGCAGCTGGGTGTGATAATGTGTAGGAAACACCCAGGTGGTACTTGTTTTGAAGGCATGAAGGGGTCACAGACAGCAGCTGAGGCTCAGCACCGTGAAAGGCCAGGGAAGGCCATTGGTTGTGGAAAGCTCTTGGTGCCGCTTCTAGGAAATTAGTGAGAATATTTACATTGGGCTAGGACAAGAAAATAGGCTCAAGAAAAATAGAGTTGAGGAATGTGTTCACTGCATCTTGATCATCTTGGTAAGTCCCTACAAACAGTTCCCACTAGACTTCTGTTTATGCCTTGTTTGTTCCCTGACCTAGAACTGACCTTATTCTTTGCATGAACTTAGAATGGTAAAAAAGCAACTTGGGATAATAAGAACTTGCTTCAGCACTTGCTGGAGTCATGCTATCGTGCGGTCTAATTGTCTTTTTAATTTCATCCTCACTCCCATCCTCTAGACCCTGTTGACTGACGGAGCGGGCTTGGTCAACTGGTGAAGGTGCAGCCTCAGTTGCACTTGATGGCCCAGGACTGAAGGGGTCATGCAAAGAGGCTGAGGCTTGGCACCATGAAGAGAGCCTATGAGAGGCTACTGGTAAAAGTGCAGCCTGGTTTCAGGGGAGGACCCCAGTGTACTGAAGAGCCAGTACCATGGGATGACCACCAAGAACAGCAAGCAGCAGTGGAATGGAGTCAACCAGAACAGAGAGTGCTGTGTTAGAGCCCAGATGATCATATGTGGATCCCAGACATTGGGAAGTTGAAGTTGCCTTGGAGACCCCAAGATGTCAGAGCTGTCAGAGCTGTGGTATCTGAAGAAAGCTGCTAACAGGGAGTGGAACCAGCCCAATAGAAAGAATTGTGTTGCAGTCAACAAAGATGAAAGGAGTTGGACATCAGACATGGAGATGCAGAGTGTGGAATTTGACCAGCTGTTTTTTGATGTTCTTTGGTCCAGTATTTCCTCACTGCTATCTTTTGGAATACTAATGTATATCCTGTGATGTTGGAAGTAGCTGCTTTTTTATTTTGGTTTTGATTCTATAGGAGATTAACAGTTAAAAGATTATATGAGTATCAGAAGAGACTTTGAACTCTGCAACATTTTTGAGACTATGGTAGATTATGAAGTTGAACTACATGCGTTCTGCATTCTGCATTCTGGCTCCAAGCCTATGGGGGCCAGGAAGTGGAATGTGGTGGTTTGAATAGGCCTGGCATCCCATAGACTCGTGTGTTTGAATGCTTTATTGGAGTAGGTGTGGCCTTGTTGGAGGGAGTGTCTCACTGTGTAGGTGGGCTTTGAGGCCTCCTATGCTCAGGCTCTGCACAATTAAGTGTTTGCCTTTATAAGAGTTGCCTTGTCATGGTGTCCTCTTACAGCATTAAACCCTAACTAAGACAGAAGTAGATGTTGTTTCCTGTTAAGTCATCTCAAAGGCCTCACCAGCCCCTCTCTTCCTCACTCTTTTAGATTCCAGTTATGAGGTAAGCAGCTTTGGTTGCATCACAGGGCCAAAGCAATGCAGCCAATCCACCATCATGGGATAAACCTCGAACTGAGTAAAATAAACTTTTACTTGTTAAGTTGGTGCCTTCAGGGTCTGTTACAGTAACAGGGACTGACAGCATGTTGCCCTCTATAGAATCTGATGGCCACACCCAGTCACCTCCCAAAGCCATCCCCATCCCCACTGTCCCTCGACTCAACCAGCTTCCTCATGGGTCCCTCCCTGTAACTCCCCCTCTTCCACAATTACATGTAATTTGCTGACATTTTGTTTGGTGAGCTAGGGTTGACATGTAGCCTAGCTAGCCTTCAATTTGCAATGTAACAGTCTCAGCACCTTGAGTGCTGGGATTATCGGAATGCCGTGTATGGAGGCTCAGCCCTGTAAACCCTGCACTCAGGAAGCTAAGGCAGTTAAGAGTACAAGTTCTAGGGCTGGGCACCTTTAACCCCAGCACTCAGGAGGCAGAGGCAGGTAGATCTCCCAATTTGAGGCCAGCCTGATCTACATTAGGACAGCCAGAGCTACACAATGAAACCCTATCTTGAAAAACTATAGAGTACAAGTTCTGGGCCAGCCTGAGCTACACAACCAAGTTCTGAGCCAGCCTGGGCTATGCAGAGTTTCTGTCTTAAACATAAAACAAAAAATCCAGTAGAATCTTTTCTCTCCCTGCTGCCCTAGGGGAGTCGGCACTCTGTGGCCCATAGCCAACCTCTGGCAGCTTCACCAGCAATATAAAATCACACACACACACACACACGCACACACGCACACACGCACACATACACATGCACACACACATGCACAC